TAGAGAAACGACTGAGAGATTTCAGAGCAGTCTGTTACAGCAAAGAATAGAGCTTCCACAGAGCTTGAGACCTGATAGAGATTTATTTAGATGAGAAATAACTTTACAGTGAACATCATGGGAAGATCTTTTCTGAGCTTGCATCTTAATTATAAGAACACACTTCTTTCTCAGTACACTATCTTCCTATCTTTCACAACTATAAAGGAAAACTGCAAATTTAGATGGTATCTCTGGGAAATGAAAAATTAATCATATTTCTACCTTTCTGCGAAAGGTAGAAGTCAAATGTCTATCTGCATAGAAGGAATCTTCTTCATAGTCTTCAGAAACGCAAACCCTGTGAACTAAAAAAAAGCAACACTGAAAAGATGGAGTGTCTCTTCCCACAGCTCATGACTCTAGGAGTTCACTAATATTTAGATCCACTTCTAATCTAATCTTTAAAACATTTATGAATAAATGGTTGAGATGGCCAAACTCTTCTTTTACCTATTATTAACATTGTATGTATTGAACATCCACCTCTATAGATTCTCAGAGAATTTTACAGATATGAATTTATTAATCTTCCTTCCATTCCATTAAGTACTTGAATACCTGTGTCCTGGTTTGTTGCTTTTTTGTTTTTGTTTTTGTTTTGTTTTGTTTTGGTTGGTTGGTTTTTTGTTTTTGTTTTTTTTTTTTGTTGTTGTTTTTTGGTTTTTTGTTTTGTTTTTTAAATAAAGCAGGACATACAACAGAATTCTCCTATTCCTACTGAATTCACAGGCAATCCAGAACAGGCTTAAATTACTTGCTGAAGATTATACTGAACAATTGCATTGGGGCTTTGAACAAATAGTCACATTCCCAACTCTGTATTTTGGTCACAGAGACTTCTCTTCCTTTTTTTACAGAAATAAAATTTTTCCCTGTACCGTATAAAATTATCAACCCATATATACAACCACCAACAACCTGTCTCCTAATTTAGGATTCATTTTTTCTTAGGGAACCATAAACCCAAATACATTCACTTAAAATATAATCATGTATTTTTAGTACAGAAAAAAGTTTAGTGGTAAAAATAATTCAGAGCATGCAAGGTGATACCATATCTGTTTCAAAAATTCGTCCCACTAAAATTATTTTAATCAATACATGTATCAGACTAATAAATTTAACTTATGGACTGTAACATATTGCTCTTGACAGTAGGGCAACAGATACGTTAAGGAAGATCTAGTGACTGGCACTTTAATATGAAAAGAAACATCTTAGTATTAAAAATGAGCCAAGAGATGGTGATTACATTATACTCTTCCTTGTGCTCAAGGATTTTAACCACAACATTTCAAGGATGTGTCCTCCAGAAGGAAGAGAGAGGAAAACTCCATTTTCCAGTTCTATGCATATATGAAATAATGCTGCTAAACTGATTTAAATATGAAAAAAACTGTGCTACCTCTGTGCAAAATGCAGCTCACCTAAACCTATTTATATTGGCACAACATGTCTGCTTTGACTCTGGTGATATAAAATGTCTTTATTTAAGTATGTCCTCAATATCTTTGATTTTTACAATGTTAAGGAAGGCTAGTTACTTAGTGGTTGTTGATTCCAAGAAGAATATATAAATGCCTCTCCCAAAAGACTTCACTAGCGTTATGTCACTCAAATCAGATCTTTAACACATAACAAGTCTTGCCTTTGGAGAGCTAAAGATAAACAAATCCAGTCTCACCACTGAGCTTATTCCAGACAGAAATGTGTCATGAATTAATCATACAAGCAAACTCTTGTACCTCAAATGGAATGGAATACTGTTTTTTCTTAAAAGGATGCCACAATCCCTATGGGACATCCAAGCTATTAACATCTCTACTCACAAATAATGTTCAGAGTTCTGAGGGGATATGGAAAATGCCAAAGCAACTCCCCTCAAGAGATGCAAGGCCAGAAATGAAAATATTTGCAAAACAATAAACCCACAGGGAACCCAACCTTTTTCCAAGCTGTCAAGCAAAGAAACAAAAAACAATACATCTTCGTGAAAGCAAATGGCCCTATGCTGAGAGAATAGCACCCAACAGCTGTTCTTTTGACTAAAGATCTCAGTGTTATCTGGATGCCAATTAAGACATGGGGAGGATGGATAATTGACTGGAGGTCCCAAAACATGAAACCATCTCTTTAAACTTAGCATACTGTATACAGAATAGGTTTCTAGCAGTGCAATACAATACACAAGATTTCCTTCACAGTTAATATAGCACAATGCAAGACTACTGTCATCAAGCAGAAGTATAATGCCAGAGACATAGAGTAAAAAGAAACATTTTGGCCATTATCTCGTCATTTCTTTCAGAGAGGCAAAGTAAAAACTCTTGTTCTTCACCTCATTCATCCTTTGTCTCTGTCTCCTGTAGGAGACCCTTAGCTGTTCACAAATGGGATGTCAGGGGCACAGAGACATTAAGCCTCTTGCCCAGACTTATATATGGAGGTCACTGGCAGGACCAGTGCAGATCTTGCAGAAGCTAATGACGTATTGATTATCTTTTTCCAGATGTCCTGTCCTGGAGCAAAGTACCTCTAGCATTTATGTTTTCAAGCCAGTTATCTGTTAGGTATCCTCTGGATAGTTATCCTGAAAGGAGATACCATTTATACTAAGCATATATTCTCTAATAGAGAAGCCATAGACAAGAAAGCTAAGTGTGAGAATAGAGCTTATAAAATCCAGTAACTGATCAGACTGCTTTACCCTTGGTGTCTCTGTTTTATGCCAATTTAAAACAGTTTCACAAGGACTTTTAACCATTAATATCCCAGTAGTTAGTTTTTAACCCTGATTTAAGATCTCTGATCTCAGCAGGCTCTGCAGAACAATTCCACCCAGTTCACTGCCTCGTTCTTATATTAACTGACCATGTGGGAGGAAGATGTGTGTGTCTACACAGTCAGGTGCTCAGGACTCTGAGAAACCACTCCACCTCTGTGTGGCCCACAGGGGACTGGGTTCATAAAACTGGTTTCCACTAAAAAGACCAGACCATCCTGGATTAGGGGAACTGAACAGAGGAGATTTCACATTTGTCCTGTGAATCCATCAGTAAGGAAAATGCTGGGAACCTGCACAAAACAGGATGGGCCATTTGCTTATGGTTCCGTTGACCGGGGGAATGTAGACACTGGGGTGGAAAGGCCTGGGTTATTTTGTCATGGCTTCATTGGTCAGGGGAATGTAGGCACCTGCATTGCACAGCCTGGGCAATCTGCCCACAGCTCTATCAAACAAGGAAATATGGGTACCTCTGATCTCACCAAACAGGGTTGTTTGCAGCTTTGTAAGTAGCTGACAGTATAAGAGAAGGGAATTAAAAGAAAGAAGAACAGAGCTAACCAAACAAAATGCTGCTGACAGGTGGGAAATGTACCACTGTCTTTGCTGTGGTACTGCCAGGTGTAGCTCTGTGCAAAGCCTGGCAGCTGATCCTGTTAGTTTAAGGGGGGTTATCTCCCCATGTGCCACCAACATGCAACAGAATTATCTTCCAGGCATGTACCACAAGCCCTTTTCCGGCTCCTGCAAGCAAAAAGGAGCAAAAGTATTTTACATGCTGCAAGTATTTAAATTGGTCAGTTCACTAGAAAGAGAGAAAAAGAAAAACACACAGAGAGAGAGAAAGAGGGAATCCCTATGGAAACAAAGCTTTCACTCCGCTAACAGAGTTAGTCAGACAGACACTGTCACCACTTATAAAGCAGGGCCAAAGAACCCTGAGGGCAAGTCACTCTGCTATGATGGAAAAACTCAACAAGAGGAGAAAATAGCTCTCAGATTGGAGTTAGCATACCCATAGAGGACATCTAAGCCTGGGAACGAATGCAACCAGCTCTCTAGTTCACTGGCGTGGACTGTGCTGCAGCCTTCCATTGTCAACCTCTCCCCCAAAGTAACAGAAACAAACACACCCTGAGAGATACAGAAGCGTAGAGCAGTGCATGAGCTAAAATACAATATGTCCCTTTAGTCACTGTTAAACACTAAATTAGAATTGTGAGACTCAAAACCAAACTGTTGATGCTCTGGAGAGCTATCAAACAACATAAAAGCTGTGACAAAAGAGTAACAACCTGCAAACAGCCAGTAGGCACAAAGTGCCTTTGGTCCTGCGAACTCACTGCAGTGTAGCTACTTCTTTTCTAATAAATAAACTGGCTGGCTTGCTTTGAAGACAGGGTTGTCTCAATGCTTATTCACCCTAAGCCAAGCCATGTTTTCCAGCACATAGTTCAAATGACCAAGCCAGAAGTCTGATCAGTTTCCACTTCTTTCACAGATCCCCTTAGTGCCTTAGTTTACCCGACTCTAGAACTAATGCTAAAGCCATGTTCCTAAAATGCTTTGAGAAATTTGGATGGTATTAATCATAGAATCATAGAATGATTCTTAAGTCATAGAATCATAGAATGATTCTTAAGTCATAGAATCATAGAATGATTCTTAGATGATCTAGTTCCAACGCCCCTGCCATGGCCAGGGACACCTTCCAGGTGTCAAAGCCAGGTTGGTCAAAGCCAACCTGGCCTTGAACACTTGCAGGGAGGGGGAATACTGCATTTATGCCAATAAACCTTGGATTTCTGAGTGACACAGTTGTCACTTGGCTCAGAAACACAAAGAAGTAACCAGCACTTGACAAGTTACCACATATTGGCTGAACTGCAGGAAGTGTCTGGGCTCAGTAACCCCAGGCAGAGATGTTTAAACTAAGACATTTCCTATCTCACATCTGAGATGGGATGAAAGCAGGAACACAGTCACTTGCTGTGGCTTGGCCAGCTGGTGGTAACTCAGCTGTGATGTTCTGGGATCAGTCACAGCCCCACAGCTGCTTATGCAGAGTCTTCTAAAAAGGAACTATTACTTTTTCCTGAACATCACCTTGGGATGTGTGCTGTGTATGCAGAATCCTAGATCTATTCTTGGATGTGTATCTTCTGTCTTCCAGGTGATTTATCGTGCCTTAAGTCCGGCTAACAAGATCGAAGACCCCTACAGTCTTGAAGCTCAAGATCTCCTGAAACTCACCAACCTCCGCCTCCTCTTGTTAAAAAGACAGGAATGTCCGTGCTATGGTTCAGGATTGGTAGAGAAACCTCAGAGATTTGCCCATTATGCTATTTATGACCTGATCATCCGAGGAAGCTGCTTTTGCAATGGGCATGCAGAGGAATGCGAGCTTGCCAACACAACAGGAGCCACGGAGAATGTGGTGAGTTCTAGACATTCGCTAACTAATTAGACTTGTTACCTGCTTGTGCTTTCTCAGCCTAATGTTATATTTTGTATATGATCCTGTCCACGCCTCCCTAAGCCTATCTAAAAAAGGGCAGCACTGTCAATTCCTATTAGCAAAACCTAAACCACTCTGGGAAAGTTTTCCTGTAACCCTTGCTGCAGGTCCATGTGTATTAATTGCATTGCTAGAGATGGGTCCTTCTAGAAACTCTGGGCCTCAAAATACCTATAAATTGTGAAGGGGCTCTGTAATTGGAACAGAGATCTGACCCTAAATATAGTGAATTAAATCTCCTACCTATATGCCTGCATAGAACTGAACTAATCTGTTTGATGCAAAGACTGCCCTGACTTGAATTTCAGCATCAGATCTTGAATTTCAGATTTTCTGAGTTTGTGAGACATGAGCAGTTCTGTCATACTTAGGGTTTCAGCCTTCACATTTAGGTTTTCCGCCTTCTGTGGTTTTGTTGCTTTTACTACATAGATAGCAGTGTTGAGGGTGTAAGAATAATTTCCACATGTTCCCTCTTTTACCCATTCAGCTTAAAATAAGTTAGAATTTTTTTTTTTTTTAAAGCCAAGCATTCTGGGAAAATTATTCTATAGTACTATGATTAGCCCCTCCCTGTTCATTCTTTTATCTGTATTTTACCCTGGATGTGAGCTGTGTCTATATGCATGATCACAAGTTGTGATTCAGGGGGAATGACTGCTGTCTCCTTTTTGATTTAGCTGCAAGTATTATATAGAATAACTGTAACAACAGTCACACAGAAATGATGCTAACCAAATACATCTAAACACATACATATAAACACATCTAATAAACACATGCATCACAGAGAGAATTCAAGCCACTTTAAACTAGTCAACAGCTCCACAGGTTCCAGAAGGCTGTCTGTCTCTGTAATGGGTTTTGAAAACTAAAATAACCCTTAGAACTTTAATTCCTGGTGCACTCTACATAATAGACTCAAGAAACGCATCCTAGTTAATTTATGCCCCTTTAGATATATGGTACATTTTGGTTTATTTTCTTCTGGAATGTGCATTCATTGTCTTCCTTTCAACTTTTCTAGGTTCAGAGGTATATATTGTAAGACAGTTAGGACTGTATGAGTTTCACTATATTTGCAAAATAATTTCTGAATCAGTTCCATCTGTGGTATAAATCTGAGATTCAGCTACAGTATTCCAGCACTAGCTGATATTATCAGATTCAGTTAACTATAAATATAGACTCTTTTAATACAAAACTGTGTGGAGAAAAGTGGTTTAAAGAGTGCATCCTCCCTATTGCAAACTGTTAAATATACACATAGTGAAATCAAATAGATGAATAATGTTAAATGAATACAGCTGGTAGAAGAATAAAGACTCTGCCCATCAGAAAAGGAAAACACAATATTGTGTATATTACTGGTATAACCATTGTAAATTATGACTGGATTTTTTTTCCCCCACTAGTCACAAGGGAATAGAATCTTTTTGTGCCATCAATGACTTCATGGGGCAGAAGATGAAACAGTTTTGATGAAATGCATTTTATGAGTGACTCATGTTCCAGAAGACAGGAGGGTGGATGCATCACATCATTCACACAGGCACAGATATTAACAAGTCTTTACCTAAGCAGGGATTCAAATGCAGCAGTGACAAAAGTAAGAAAAGCCTTCCAGAGCTTCAACTACCTCTTGAACCCTAGATGAGGGCTGGAAAAGACTGTGAGTTGGTCTGAGTCCTCACATACAGGTATGATCAAGCATACCTAAGCCATTCACTAGTGAATGCTTGTTGAACTAGTTTTTGAAAATCTCTGTTGAAGGAGACTTAATAGCAACCATCAGTAGTTGTTACTATTTTGACATTTTGAAAGCTCTTCTTTAGTGCCTGCTTAAATAGTCTCTACTACAAATCAAGGTGATTCCTTCTTGTCCCCTCCTTCGCACTGATCATGGAGATCCTCGTTCTGCAAATATTATTGGAAGGTTCTTACCATATATTTTGTTAATTTTGGGGGGTTTTTTTGTACTAACCAGATGTTGTGGTTTGGGCCTGATTGGCAGCCAACCACAATGCAGCAGCTCTCTCTCCCTCCCCCTCCGGCAATGAGAAGGGACAGAGAGCCAGGCTTGGGGTTCAAGATAGGACTGGGATGGGGAAAAATCCCCCTTTTATGATCACAAGCAAAAGGCAGACTCGTTAGGGGAAGAAAAAAGAACATACATTTATTACAGACACTAATAACACATAACAGAGTAGGACAGTGAGAAGCATTGCCACATCTTGAGAACACCTTCCCCCCACCCCTCCCTTCTTCCTGGGCTCAGCTCTGCTCCCGATATCTCTACCTCCTCCCCCAGTGGCGCAGGGGCCGGGAATGGGGGGTGCAGTCAGTGCTGCCACTTCCTTCATCTTCGGTGAGGGGAGTGTCCGAAACTTGTTCCTCCTGCTCCATCGTGGTCCCCCTCTCACAGCAGACAGTCCTCCACAAACTTTCTCTGACTTGAATTCCTCCCATGGGCCGCAGCGTTCCCCACACTGCTCCGTCATGGGCCACTAACTTCCCCTGACTGGATTCCCTCCCACGGCTGCAGCCCTTCCCGAGCTGCTCCGGCGTGGGACTCCCCCGCATGCTGCAATCCTCCCAGCACTGAATTACAGCAGCGGGGCTGCCTTTTCCCATGAGACCCCGGCCTTCTTCGGGCACAGAACCTTGATCAGCCGAGCAGGAACAACAGGCTGTAAATCAATGTCTGCTCCACCGTAGATCTCCATGGGTGGCAGGGGGGGCCGCCCTGCCGTCTCCCCACAGGATACAGGGGGGTCTCTGCTCCGGCACACCTCCCCCCTCCTTTCTTCCTCCGTTCCTCCACTGACCTTGGTGTTCATGCAGCTGCAGCAACTCCTCCTCACAAGTCCCACTGCCCGTCACCACGTCCCTTCTTAAATACGTTATCGCAGAGGCGCAGCTGATTGGCTCAATTTCCCAAACAGAAGTGGAGCTGACGTGGAGCTGGGGGAGCTTCGAGAAGCTTCTCACAGGGGGCCGCCCCGATAGCCCCCTCCCCTGCCACCAAAAAACTCCACCACTCACTCAACCCAGGGCACCAGAGAAGTGTAAAACCTTAGGTGGTCAAAATTTAAAATTATTCCCCCAGGTCACACAAGTCTGGAGTAAAGATAATCATCCTATTTTGTTCCTCGATTCTGTGCTTTAGTCATTACACCCTAGCTCTTTCTTAAATACATAATGAAAATCCACTCTTGGAAGAGCCAAGTTCTTGGATCCTTTTACATTTTATCCAGTGAAGATACTGTAGTGGTGAAGGGAGTATTCACACAGGTACAGATCTCAGGATTTAGTTCACATAGCTAGCAAGACAGAGTTTATATAAGTGTATAACTTTGCATCTTACAATATGGTAATCTCCTTGCCTACATGCAGAAGGAAAATGCCTTTGCTGTTGAGTGGTGAACACAAATGATACATTTCATATTGGCCAAACTACACTGCAACAAAAATCTTTGTAATCTTGAAGTTTCTTGGCAGAGACAGGGAAGGTGCTGTACTTTCAGTCACATGTTGACTAAAATAGGATAAGGAAAAGAAATGTTAGAAACAAATGTTGCATGTCCAGAAATAATCTGATTCATTCCACTGTCCGCATCTAATATTTAATGAACACATGGGCAGAGTAAGTCTCAAGACACAGTTTTTAATGTGGCTAGTGTGGGTGATATCACAGCATGAAGGCAGAGCAGTTTCGTGTTTCCTGGGTTTCTGTCAAGTAATTAAATAAAATGCTGGAAAAATACAGACCTCCACAGAAAGGCTTAAGTAATAGGAGTTTCTGTCTCTTAAGAGTTCAGAGTCCTCTCACAATGTATTTATTTTCTGTAGTTAGCAACAACAAAAGCAAGTCCATGTAGAAAACAACTGCAATTGCTTGCCATGGGATAGGCCCAAAAACTGAGATAATTCTTCATTTAGGTCTTGGAAGAGACATAATTGTGCTAACTTTTAAGCTCTTCTTGCTCTTGAAGGAAATCTGTTCCATCTGTAATACTTTTAACACTGCTAGACTGATACTATATGGAGGCTAAATAATAGAGAAAACTAAAGCAAATTTCTTGACACTTTTGAACCAACAATTTTCAACACTATTTTGGAGGGACTAGATGATCTATGACTACTAGATGATCTGTCAATGATCAGTTTATCCATGGACCTGTTAGTTCAGTCATGATAACCCATTCAGCTTCTGGCTTCTCCACTGAGTCTGACAATATGAAATGCAGCTCTATGAGAAGTAATGGCACAGGCACCATAGTGTTGTAGAAATGAATAGATACAACAGAACTGCAAATTGTAAAACTGACCTCCAGATGGTACATCATTCCTCACAGCCTGAAATCCTAGTTAGTTTCATGCATATTCTCTCTGGTGATAAGTCATTTGTGAAAATATTGAGTACAGCAAGGTTCAAAGTACACTTCCACAGGATCAAGTGGAAATGCCCTTTGACTTCTAATTTTGGCAGCAAACTGGTAATAATTACTCTTTCAAGGTGGCTTTTTTTTTTTTGAATGAGCCATGCACCCACATCAACACAATTTATCTAGATCATATTTCTCTTATTAACTACTGAGAAGATCATGTCAGACAGGAGAAAAGCTTTGAGAAGTGAAGGTGGGAGCTGTAAAGAATAGGTAAGAAACTTCCGGACAAACATATCTTGAATTTGGGGTTTGTTGCTACTGATAGTCATGTTTTCTTGTTTTCTATTTCCTTGCCTCAGACCAGAAAAAAAAAAAAAAAAAAAAAAACAACAACAAAACAAAGCACTGAGATGTCATACCCAACTTAAATAGCTTCTTATGATAGCTAAGGACAAAATTCTCCTTTCTGAATTTCACGGCCTGTATTATTGAAACTCTTACAGGTAGCTCCTTTGTCAGTGAGGGAAA